ACCCCCCCCTCATCGTTTTCCAGAATTTTCCATCTTTTCCCTCGGAAAAAATTTATCTACAAGATCCCCTCCCCCCAATCCCATCTTTTCCCTAAAAATTATTGCGGATTTTCCCGATTTTGTCGTTTTTTTGTCGTTTTTTTGTCATTTTTTTGTCTTTTTTTGTCATTTTTTTGTCATTTTTTTGTCATTTTTTTGTCATTTTTTCCCCCCCCCCTCTTTCCTTGCACTCTACACCAGGAATTCCTCATCCCACGGAATTCCAGAGGGGACGGGGAAAAAAACATGGAAAAAAAAAAAACCTGGGTCAAAATATGAATTTTTTTTTTTCCTTTTTGATTTTTTTTTTTTTTTTGGATTTTTTTGGATTTTTTTTTTCTGATTTTTTTCGGGTTTTTCTGGAAAAAAAAAAAACAACCAAACTTGACAAATTCCACGTTTCCTGCTAGAAAAAGCTGATTGTACGCACGAGCCGAAAGGGAAAAGGGGGGAAAAAACCCAAAAAATTTGGGAATTCCAGCGCGGATTTAACGGAAAAAATAAAAAATTTGGGATTTTTCCCGCAGAATTCCGGATTTTTTCCCGTTTTTTTTTTCTCTTTTTTGGTTTTTGTCTCTTTTTGTTTGTTTTTCTCCGTGCCCCGCGTCAGATCCAGCTGAGACTGAGCTTCCTCTTCTTCCTCTTCCTCCTTTCCTGCTGTTTTCCTGGGAATTCTTGGAGCCGGGAATGGGAATTTTAAGGAAAAAAAAATATATTTGGGATGGGCCTGGAGGAGTTGGGGTGGGAAAATGGGGAGAAAAGGGGGGAAAATGGGAAAAAAAAGGGGGGAAAGGTGGAGGAAATGTGGGAAAAGGAGGGAAAATGGGAAAAATTGGGGGAAAATGGGGAAGAAATGGGAATAAAAGGTTGAGGAAAAGTGGGAAAATGGGAAAAATGGGAAAATTTGGAATAAAAGGTTGAGGAAAAGCAGGAAAATGGGAAAAATTGGGGGAAAATGGGGAAAAAATGGGAATAAAAGGTTGAGGAAATGTGGGAAAAGGGAGGAAAATGGGGAAAAATGGGAATAAAAGGTTGAGGAAAATGGGGAAAAATGGGGGAAATGGGAAAAAATGGGAATAAAAGGTTGAGGAAATGTGGGAAAATGGGAAAAATGGGAAAATTTGGAATAAAAAGTTGAGGAAAATGGGGAAAAAATGGGGGAAAATGGGGAAAAAATGGGAATAAAAGGTTGAGGAAATGTGGGAAAAGGGAGGAAAATGGGGAAAAATGGGAATAAAAGCTTGAGGAAAAGTGGGAAAATGGGAAAAAATGGGAATATGAGGTTGAGGAAAAGTGGGAAAAAGAAGGAAAATGGGAAAAAGATTGAGGAAAAGGGGAAAAAATGGGGAAAAATGGGGAAAAAATGGGAATAAAAGGTTGATGAAAAGTGGGAAAAAGATTGAGGAAAAGGGGAAAAAATGGGGAAAAAGTTGAGGAAATGTGGGGAAATGGGGAAAAATGGGAAAAGAATGGGAATAAAAGGTTGAGGAAATGTGGGAAAAGGAGGGAAAATGGGAAAAATGGGGAAAAATGTGAAAAAAGGCTGAGGAAAAGGGGGGAAAGAGGGGGAAAAGGGGAAAAAATGGGAAAACGGGAATAAAAGGTTGAGGAAAATGGGGAAAAATGGGAAAAGATGGGAATAAAAGGTTGAGGAAAATGGGGAAAAATGGGAAAAGATGGGAATAAAAGGTTGAGGAAATGTGGGAAAAGGGAGGAAAAGAAGGAAAAATGGGAAAAAAGGTTGAGAAAAGGGGGAAAAAGAAGGAAAAAGTGGAAATGGAA